AAACATCGTTGTCCCTAACCAAAGCCCCTAACAACTCCATACGACAACTGAAAATAAAGCTTTTTAGGGCAGTTTTCGCTTGATCATTTTCAGTTTTTACCATTTAAAAATATTTTAAAGTTATGTATGTAACTTGACCCATGATTCTAATGTTTCAAAAGTAATTTCTAATTGAGTATATTACATTATTTTATGGCAAAATCCCGAAAAATTGTCTCATTTGTGCCGGATCCCAATAATGACTTTTTTTTGAAGTACGAAATACTAAAAATGATTTATAATAATGCCAGTTGGTCTTTTGAACACGATACATTGTTCCTTGTGATTTTTTTTTATACACTGCCATATTATTTTACCTACATAACGAACGATTTCCGGTGACAACAATTTTAAAAATTGACCGGAAAGGCGACCCATTTATTTCATATGATTTCCTGATGGCGGTAATTCGGTTGAGATTTAAATAAATGGTTATTTGGCTTATTTATCGAATTGTACATTAATAAAGATTCTGTCTAAAAATAGACATCGAAACAAGACGTCTCCATCTATGCAGATGATCGAGCATTCCAACGAGATATACATGATGCATGCATATCCTTGTGGTCATTACCCAGGAGGTTATTACAACGCAATCTATTTTTATCGCCGCTTTTTTAAAAGCCAACTTGATTACGTCTATTAATAGAAGCGCGAGACGGTTTACCGATTTAAGGAAAGTTTATCGTTTAAAAACAAAAAATTTATGTTATAGCGTTAATCATCTGCGCTTATACGTTAAGACGTTTTCTAATTAACTCGGCCACGTCTTGCTTTATTTTTTTTATCTATTAAAAGACCTGCGAGACGTATACAAGGTCTCTCAAAAGATCGAGAAAGAAGTGTTGATTAATCTTCTAAACTTAACATGAGAAACTGGTCAAGTGAGAGTTGGACTTTCGCACTATAAGTACTATGAACAACCTTAAAATTACATACTTACATTCACAATTAGTAGGAAATTAATCACGTTCAAAAAGGCTTCTGTTTTTTTTTGAAGTGAAACTTCTTTACGCACAGTAGGGTAAGTTCGTTTCATGCAAGTTGCTATGTAACGAAATCATGCAACACATTTCCCCCGCTGTCTGTCCCTATGTATGCTTAAACGCAACGGATTTTGATGCGGTTTTTTTTAATAGATAGAGTAACTCAAGAGGAAGATTTATATGTATAATACATGCATTATATAGTAGAGAAACACTGATAATTTTTGGGGTTTGTAATGTGATGTCGTAAATAAACACATTTTTGCGCTTACATTGCAAACGGTGGCTGAACCCTACGAGATAGATCAAAATAATATGCTACAGTATTGTACACCTTAAAAAGGTCTACAAAAAAGTACGGGATGGTATATGTCTATCTCTTAGGGATAACCCACAATAACCATTTTTTATCCTTTACTTTTTACGAGAAATAATGGCTTATTTACGAAGCGATTTTAAGCAATACAACATTAATTCTTATCCAATTTAATACTTTCAAATACATTGTGCATTTAATATAGATCAATACAACCTTTACAGCATGTAATTTAAATGAATATTTTCGATGATATTACAAACTTAAAATGCACGGATATAGCGGTTGCGGCGGTACCGGCCGGTTTGTATTGTCTAATGTAAAAAAAGCTGTGATTGTTGTATATAAAGACATTTTATAGTGTATATGCGGCGTAGAATTAAAACATGCTTATTAGTTCTAGATATCATGAGTTTAATGTTTGGAACGGAGGTTTTAAATTTTGTAGTAAGATAGATAAAGCTTTGTTCTAAAGTTTGTCGAAAGCCATTTTTTAATTTTTTAATTTCTATTGAAAATACGTGTCCTACAAGACGCATCAACTTTAAGCATTTTTAAAAGCTTCCAATGACCATATTATTGAAAACTAAAAACGTATCGAGTTAGTGTGAACCTTTGTCTGTTACCATACAAAAAATTAGATATTTATCTCGAACGTTAAATCACAATGTTTAGAATAAGAATCCATGTTTTCGGAAAAATTCACACTAGATACGAGCGGTCTACTGCGGTCAATCCCCTTACTAAATGATACCGAATCCTTTTCTGTTTACCAATTGCATCCGCGAATAATGAAAACGCGAATAAGAAACTTTTACTGTATTTAAATTTTTCATAGTGTTAGGCGAACATAATTTTATGATCAACGTCTTCCTTCACTTGTTTTTATTTTACAGTTTTTTTGACCTTTGTTTAAACTCTCTAGTCATTGCATTCTGAAGGAAAGATTTGTTACTGTCCAATTCTCCGGATTAAACATGTTTTTTTGAGTGATATATTATTAAATCTCAATTCATTTTTAAGTACTTTCACATTTAGTGTGGCAGTTGCAGTCATCGTCTTCTTTACGATTTCAGCAAACTTCCTTAATGACGCTGTCGTTTTGGTTTGCGGCCAACCATTATTTTTGACTTTATTTGCAAAAGGTGTCCGCGTACAGCGATGTGCACTGGAACTGGCGGAAGTGGCAGCCCAACAAACACCAAAGAAGGTCGAAAGGCCACTTCAATTTAACTTGCTTTGTCTGATACATCATCAAAATTCAAAATTGAAATCCACATGAGTTTAAATAAAAAAAAATACAACGTGTAATTATACAACACGCTACTGAAGTGAAACTTCTTCGAACACACAAACATACCGGGATAGGGGTTAAGGAATTGGTTTAATGGTACTATTTGTACACTATGCTTCGCACGGGTGCAATGCTGATAGTAAATATTACTGAATCCCCTTAATGTATCGGCATCTTTTGAGTATGTTCTGTTGGTACTTGGCGAGGCAGCTTTTATAAAAGATGTAACCGAGTAAGCAGAAAAGTATTCGGTGTTATTTTTCAACGTATCGGCATATTTTAAGTACTATTGACTCGCGCCGAGGCGACTTTTATAAAAGATTCAAATCGAGTGAACTAATTCAAAATTCAAAACAAGAAAAAATCAGTAAATTTTTTAAACCCTTCTCTAAAGCTGATTATATCTATTGGTTTTATGTTAGTACCTTAGAACATATCCCCCGTGGACATGGAATTACATTTTCCATATTCAGAGTTTCTGTATTCGCAGCATATTTATGGAACGTATACCGCGCGAATTAAGAGCTTTTACTGTATAGATAATGCCCTTTGCTGCAGTTAAATGATATATAAATACCTACTAGTCTATAAAAATATGAAACCAGGAGACTTCTTTCACCGCTTACAATTATTGCGAAGAAATCGACAGCAATTTTTATTTTATCGTAAAATGAACACGCCAAGTGCGAATTTTTGATCTAAAAATTTATATTTCTTTATTTTTCGAGATTCACCAAATGAGTTTTTAATATAATTGAGCACTACATTTTAAATAATTAATGCTTGGAATAGGGTATTCAGGACCTCGTCGTGCTTGTTCAAAGTGTTTACATGAAATGCACCATAAATACAAATTGTATTAATATCATAATTTTTTATCTGGCAAGGCGTCTAGTTCTGAGACAAACATAATAAGACAATGTATCAGTTATAATAATTACTGGAAAGTCAAATTATTCTTGGTATTTAAAGCGATAATAATTATTTTATTGTTAGCATTGGTCGTCAAGGGAATTCTCTAACAAACAACTATGTCACGAAGTGGTTTCATTGAATATTGTACTATTTTCAACATATTAGCTATAAAATTGGTTGTATAAATAGCACTCATTTTTGAAACAAAACAAAAATAGTAAAAATTAAGTAATTGTAAGCCAACTTTTCAAAAACAGATTAGCAGAAAAGCATATTTCTAAATTTCTATTAGTTTTTATTTCCCTTTTAACATCTTGTAAACGTCTTTATAGACAAAAAATGAAATATTCAGTATTTAAATCCATTTTATTACCAAAACGACCACTTTAAAAATGCTAAATAGTACTAGTTAGATTATGTTACGTTAGATTAATTAATTTACTTAATCAGACCAGTTGCATTTTAAAAGTGATCTCTTCGATATAAATACTGATTACTGTGATGACCATTTTTATATTTAAAGAGTGACCGCTAAATACAAGTAACCTTTGTAGATAAATTGGTAAAGACTTTTACTGTCACTAGGTGAACTGGGCTGTCCAACTTTAAAGGTCGTCGTTGGTTGGAGTTGCATTCTAAGGTTTCGCTAGCACGGGTGATGAAGTTCTTCAGAAGTCCTTCCATCTCCAATGCTGGACGTTAGGAGACAATTCCAATCGGCGACGGCTTTAGACCGGAATCAGTTCCAACCTTTATAAGTTCTTAAAAATGACAGTCAGTCACGCATCGTGCTTAATATGGTTCTTGGTTACCATTTTTGGGCACATTTTCAATATTCTCATATTTTGGCAAACCGTCAGGTTTACTAATTATTTCAATTTACTTGTTTCTACTAAGAAATATTGACATTAAGTCATTGGTAAAAATATCCTAAGCATACCAAGATATGTTTGTCTCTCAAAAATTGGATGATTAATTTTATAAATTTAATAATAAGAACCAGGCTCTATTTTTTGATAACCAGCCCGGGGATGTCAAAATTAATACTTAATAGTTCTCTAACATTATTAATTGCAATATTTAATTAATATTCTTTGGCGACGTACCTGATCACATCGAAATTAACTAAATCATCAACAAACTTAAATTTAACTATTTTTAACAGTCTTCATCAATAAGAATGTTTCGTAATAATTCTGTCGTTGTCCTTTTATGGAAAACGTTAATAATTTCATGTATATGTATAAATGAACAGAAATACAAATAATTTTGTGTAGGCATACAGAAACTCCTTTGATAAACAATATTAAATTTTCAAACTTCCGTTCGTAGGTATGTACATAGGTAGGTATACGAAAACACTTGTTTACGATTTCTATTTTCGTATTTAGTGGTATATAACATCAGCTAACACTAAAAGGCATCGCAGGTTCAACGAAAATATGAATTGGAGCGACCTAAGCGCTACAGTGTTGCTTGCCAAATTCCCGCTGACGCATTTGGCCATAAGAAGTGGGGAAAGGTGCGTGAAAATACATATGTTCATAGGTTAATTTTTAGAAATAAAAGGAAAGTGGTTATAACGTTGTCGTGTGTCCAGAATACGTTCACCCTGTACCATCCACTGACCGAAAAAAGTTAGCGTTCGTTTGTTCGTTCAGCACTTTCCTCCCAGTTCGTCTTGCATCTAGTCACTGGACAGTTATATATACATGTTCATCTATATAAACGTTTCTAGAATATCTGCTGCTTTATAAATAATACCGAAACTAAGGTTACCAGTTTGCGCGGTCTGTTTGAATAACAAAGTTCTTTTTAACGAGGTGCCGAAAGGGAAAGTTCGAAAGGCAAAATTTTTACTTGGTTTATGCATGTTGTGACGTGAAGACGATGGGAATGATAACCAGAGTCAGGGGACGGTTAAGAAGTTTACACACGCTACCAAAATTGCAGCCTGAAGAACGAGACGAGAAGATTGCCGAAACAGGTAAAAATGCATCCACACCAGCGCAACTTAATTACTTTAGTGCCTGTCTACCAAAACTTAACTTTATTTAGAAAATTAGTTTGAATGGTGTCTTGAAACTAGAAGGAAATTCGGTTGTGTTTAATAATAAACACGTTATATTGGGGGAAATCAAGACTAAATACGATTTTAGTACCTACAGGAATTATATTTATCAAATAATTAAATAACTAAAGCTTATTCATTACCTGGTATAAATTTGTTTTCAAAAAAGTACAAATAAAATAATTATTTTCACATATTGTTATCGAAAAATATTTTTTTACCATACGCCTAATGAAATAGCAAAGAAAGCCCAATAGTTCGTTCCTGTTAGATATTTCATTTACTCTTTGTTGCTTAAGGATTTCAACATCCTTTGTGTAATTTCCTCGCCTTCGACTGGGATGGCATTTCGCACTCGGGAAGGAATGCCATACACTCATCTCTTGATGCCTAACATATTCTTATTACATTTTAATAGATTCGTTGTTATTGTAAAATTATTTTTACGAAAATTCGCAGAAACTTTTTACGAATTGCAAAATAAAAATTGCATTCATTTTGGTATTTTTTTGTCGTTTTTTAAAAAGAACTCAACAGTAATAACTATAAAGATTTTTCATGATTCTAATACTATTAATATGGTTGTTAAAAGTTAGTGTTTGTTAAATCGTCCTCGAGTATTTAACATCTCGTATAAGAAAAAAAAAGGGATAAATTATACCTTGTAATGGATGGAACAATTAAAGTATTCGTTAAAAATATCTTATATGTATATATACTGATAAAGTTTGAGATATCGATGAGTTACCAATAAAAGAAATGAAAATTGTAAAAAACAAAGCACTTTCACTGGAGCTTCGGGAATCAATGTAATCAATCAGCTATTTTAAACAAATGAACTTTAATGGCAATGAAGAGTAGAAATAGAAATGGTTGTTTTCAGAATAGCAAAAACAACGGTGGCTTTTTCAAAATAATGAAATGTTATGTTTATCTCACGAGTTTAATTTTTCGAGATCAACAACAAACAAATTTCTTCAGATAAACAAGATAAATCAAATATATATACAATATCTTCCACTCGCTCTGTAAATATATTAATAAAAATATACCTTCGTGCTATTCTGGCAGAACTAGGTTCCTTTTTATTAGAGATTTTAGTAAATTAGTTTTGATTTTTTCTTAAATTTATTACTTGGGTTTCTTGTACTATTGTTCTGATGTTCTGACAGTTTCAATTTTACAAAAAAAAATGTACATATTTTAACTATACTATTATAGTTTTATAATCCCTTCTTTGTTGACGAGGAAAATGTATAAATATCTGTATTTTATTTCATTGTTTCACTAGACCTGGACTAAGATGACTGTTTTAGTCAATTAAATGATAAAGGAGGAATGTGCGTAGAATTTTGTTCCCAACAAATTCTTATTAGTTCAGAAGTTATCGAAAAAAATTGAAAAACGACAATTTCGAAATTGTGTTTAGCATTTTTATTTTTGGAATTATCAAGCATTTGTTACAACACTTTTTTCTTAATTTTGTTTTTGTTTTCCAATAGTGTGGTTAGTATTTCACTTCGTCTGGTTGCAGAAGCACACGCGAACTTCAGTTATTCATGGGCACAATACACTGGATTTTTTCACATTTAAATTCAACTTTTTTTTTCAGTAATCTAATGTAATGTTAAGAAAATTATTAGTTAAAACTTATATAAAGCGAATTTGAAACAGCTCGGAACACACCCGAGCATAACCGAAGAGAAAGAAATAATAATTTATTAATTTAATACATAAAAACCTACAATCTCACACAACCAAATTAACTACGTCTTCGCTGCTCTTCAGTTAAATTCGTTCATGTTCTGGGAAAAATTTCTCTAGGCGGTCAATACAGTTCTCGATTGTTTAACAAGAAACAACAGATAAACTTCAAAGGTGCTTTAAATTTCGACAATATACATAGGTAATTATCAACTATGTTTGTATGTAACAAAAACCGCATGTTAATTAGAGTTTTGGATGAGCATCCAATAAAAATAAACGATTATCCGATAAAATTATTCGTACAATTGTTTACATAGATGAGTATAACAAATCGATAAAATGTTATGGTACACATGCTTCGTACCCACACGAACTAATTTCGTTCGAAAGATATCCGTTTAGTAAAAACAACGAACGAATATCGTCGACAACAAAAAGTTATTTTAAACTTTATGTCGATTGAAGTTTCGAGTTTGTGCCGGAGAATGGGAGAGTATGCACACGTAATTTTGTATACGTGCCTTCAACTCTGTTTTATTTTAAAACAAAGGAGATGATGATAAAAAGAAAACAATCGGTTTCCAACCAAACAATTATCAAAGGGCGACGTCATCTCTTGAAAAATTAAACAATTGCAAGGAAATGAACTGGTTTTAAATGTCTATATTCGGGTATATACTTGGTTGCCTATACATATATTGTGATGACACGTCATAACTATTGATTTTTTTAATGTTTAACGTTTACAGCAGATATAGATTGCAAAATTACTAATAATGTCACCAAATTGATTGTTGTGTGAACATGAAAACAAATAATATAACAGATTCTCATTTAAACGTTACAAAATTTTAAGATCACGCACGCGATAGATTCAGTCCTAAAATTGCTTGTTAGAAAACATAAACAACTTTTGTTTACTCGCGCAGGCTAATTTTAAATGGGACGAATAATAACATATTTTAGAGTAGCTGTACATATAATAAAAAACAAATAGCAAGAAATTGCAAAATTAACCAATCGATTTTCGCACAAATATACCGTTAAATTTTATGACTTACATATTTACATAATTTTTACGATGTATGAAATCGAACGAAATCTTATTTCGGAGCTGTTACTGGTCTCGATAAGGTTTTTAGAGCTTATTTCACCCTACTTTTTTAAGCTTAAAATGGGTTGAATTTAGATAGAAATTCAGGTTTGAAATTTTATTTTCCTTTTAACTCCAGTACACTTTCTGCTCAACGTTAGCCAATGAGTCAATCAAGATTCTCAATAAAATCTTTCATTAAAGGGATAGATTGTCAAAGAAATACAAAACATCGTTCATGTTTTATTAAGAGATATATTTCAGGTTTTTTCCCTGTACTAACATTGAACTCTCCTTGTAATCCTTTACCATAGATGTAGGCTGAGTCTTGAAAAATCATTCTTCCTTACGATTAATTAACCTTTATAAAAATAACCAAACTTTAATGTTTATTTTTGTATTTGTATTATATATCGTCATAAGATCGACAGTCTTAACAGGGTGGACACGCACCAAATTCTTTTGTATCTTAAGCTAATCTTTGCATTTTCCTAAAACTAGTACATCCCACACCTATAACCATGTATTTGTGAACAGTAATCTAATCTAGGTCTACCTCTACCCCTGCTAACTCCTGCTTCTGCTTCTAATATGTCTGTAACTACTACTTCATGCCTGAGAAGGTGTCCTAACAACCTGTCTCGCTTATTTCCTATTGACTTCCATTTATAATCTTTTATATCCACGCCAACCGCTGCGCCCATCGTCCACGTTTCGCACCTGTACAGCGCCAGACATGCACCTTTAACAGTCTTTTTCGAATTTCTAAATTAACCGTCTGTGAGCATAGCAGTAGCTTTGTTTGTTGAAGGAGACCCGATCCTGCGCTAGCCTCTTGTTTTATATCTCTACTGCTCTTTCCATCCTGAGCTAAGTTTTCGTCTCCTATCTTTATATTCACCTTTTCTTCCCTTGCATACCAGAATTTTTGTTTTACTTTTGTTATATACGCCCTGTATATCTATCCCTAAAGTTGTCCTGTCTTTAATAATGTTTATCGCTTCTTCGATATATACGAGGGTGGATTGATAAGTTTCCGGCCTAACCAAGAGATGACGCCACTAGGCCTACCTTGAGGTGACATTCTATAGTACCATCCTTGGATAGCTTGTAGCTATAGTTTCAGCCCGATCTCCTTGCTAGTGTAGGTTTGACAGCACGCTGAACAAGACGCCTCTGTGGTTTTCGTAAAAATGGAAAAGCAGGAAAATCGTGCTGTCATCAAATACTTTTATTTGAAGGGGTTAACGCCGAAGGAAATTAAAAAAGAGATGGACTCAACACTGGGGACATCCTCCCCGTCATATTCAACCGTTAAGCAGTGGGTTTCCGAGTTTAAAAAGGGTCGTGTGAGCACCTCTGATGGGCCTCGCTCAGGACGCCCCGTTGAGGTCACAACTCCAGATATGATCGAAAAAATTCATCAAATAGTGCTGGGAGACCGCAGATTGAAAGTGCGTGAGATAGCTGAGACCTGTAAGATGTCATATGAACGTGTGCAACATATTTTGCACCAACATTTGCATATGGAAAAGCTCTGTGCAAGATGGGTGCCGCGTTTGCTAACAGTCGACCAAAAATTGATTCGAAAAAACATTTCTACCGCAAATTTGTCATTGTATAAGCGTAATCCAAGCGAATTTTTGCGTCGATTCGTAACCGTTGACGAAACGTGGGTCCACCACTACACTCCTGAAACCAAAGAACAGTCTAAACAGTGGATTGGACCAGGGGAACCAACTCCAAAGAAGGCAAAAACAATTTTTTCGGCGAACAAGGTTATGGCTACTGTTTTTTGGGATGCAAGAGGTATTATATACATTGATTACCTTGCAAAGGGTAATACTATCACTGGTCAATACTACGCAGACTTATTGCAACGTTTGAGCCACGAGGTGAAAATTAAACGACCTCATCTGGCGAAGAAAAAAATCTTGTTTCATCACGATAACGCACCAGCGCACACGTCAATCGTTGCGACGGCTAAAATCAACGATCTAAAGTTTGAATTGATGCCGCACCCTCCTTACTCTCCAGACCTAGCCCCGAGTGACTATTTTCTGTTCCCTAATCTCAAAAAATGGCTTGGCGGTAAGAGATTTGCGGACAATGAAGAAGTAATCGAAGCTGTAAATGGTTATTTTGAGGAGCTTGACGAATCAGTCTATAGAGATGGCATTAATAGACTGGAACACCGCTATGAGAAATGTATCAGCCTTGGAGGAGATTATGTTGAGAAATAAAAAAAAAAAATTTTTAAAAACCTTGTTTTTCTTGGTCAGGCCGGAAACTTATCAATCCACCCTCGTAGATTAAAAAATAGTAGTGACAGTGTGCATCCTTCTCTGACTCCCTTATTAATATTTACTTCCCCGCGTTGCTGCTCAAGTTTTGTAATTCTCTGTTGTTCTTTATAGTAACTATATATTACTCTCCTACCTCTGTAGCTCATCCTTGTATTTTTAAGTGTAATCTACATCTTGTCCAATTTAACATTGTCAAAAGCTTTTTCTAAATTTATAAATCTTATGTACGCGCACATTCCTTTTTGTATTGTTTTCTCTGTTTTACTCGTTAAGAGTTTTGTGAAGTTAAGCTAATTGTTCTAAATTTCTCTCAGCTATTCGCGCCTCTCTTTTTTAATATGGCAACTACTACGTTTCCTTTATAGTCCTTTTAGACTTCCTCGTATTATACTAACTAGGCTGAATATATGATCTGCAACCTCTTGTCCTGCATATTTTAAAATTTTCGTCACAAATAATTCTTTAATGAAAAGAGTAAATAAGTTTGTATTCACTTTTCAAAAAATAAAAATAAAAATAAAAAACGACTCATATATTTAAACGAATATTGACTGCTTAAAGGTCTTTATACGTAATCGTGAAAATACCAACAAGTCATTTGTGTTTATTATCGATTGTTTTCAAATTCTATTGTTTTAAATATTTATATTTAGAAAGTGCGAGAGTTAAACGCGCATGTTTTTACGCCAAACTGTAATTTTGCAGATATATGTGTAAGTGTATGTAAGTTTTGGCTCCGAATGATCAATCACCTCGACCTTTCCTCGACCTGATAAAGTAAACTTATGTGCCCGCGAAATATTGGCACCTTATCAACAGTGGAGATACACCTCTAATTCAATAAAAACACCAAATAGCAGACACTTACACGTAAACAAAAAACGTTTTATAACTAAAGAGCCGAATTTACACTCAAGTGAGGACAATTGTTCTGTTTAAATAAAATTAAAAAAGACTCACGTATAAATAATTATTGAAAAATAAAATTTATTTTTAAAAACGTGACTAGAATTTACTTAAAAAAAAGTTGGACTTTTATGTTAATTAAGAACAAAACATTTCAAGTGTTTTATGATGTAAAAATTAATCAATTAGTATTTCTAAAACAATTGATTAATCTTTAGTTGAAAAGGGGAAGGACTTCCACTTATTGTTTTAAAATTTTCTTTTGTTACAGTATGTCTCCTTTCGGTGCTGTTTTTACTTCCGTATTGCTCGAAGGGTCACACACCACTTCTACTCAAACTTGGAGNCTAGGCTGATATACCGCAATATAAAACTGATTAATATAGAACTTTTCAAAAATAACACAATATTGAAAATTCGTCATTGACAAAAAAAAATTAATATACGGAGAAAATGAAAAAGGAATGTTTACCTAAATATTAAAGAGATATTTACAATTTACCCCACTAGCCCATTGCTTCGTAAGCGAAAATAATAAAAATTACTATTTGGACCCGAATTCTTAAAAAAAAGTTGGACTTTTATGTTAATTAAGAACAAAACATTTCAAGTGTTTTATGATGTAAAAATTAATCAATTAGTATTTCTAAAACAATTGATTAATCTTTAGTTGAAAAGGGGAAGGACTTCCACTTATTGTTTTAAAATTTTCTTTTGTTACAGTATGTCTCCTTTCGGTGCTGTTTTTACTTCCGTATTGCTCGAAGGGTCACACACCACTTCTACTCAAACTTGGAGGAGTTTGGCTAGTTACTTATTCCTGTCTAGTCCTGCCGGTACTTATAAGTGCCAATTATAAATATCCCGTGAGATGGTTAAGGATGCTGCTGGTAAACATACCAGGTATGTTTTCTAATTTCTTTTAGTTAAATAGTTGCTTTAAATTGCATTATTTGTAAGGCTTTGAGTCACTGTTCATTATATATTTCGTCGTATAGTCTGGTGTCTTGTGGAAATTTCAATGCCTTTTTATAAAGGTGCAGGTATCCCAGCTTTTCACTTATCGGCATTGCGAGACAATGTTTTCTAGTTTGAGTTTTCACAATCAGGATGATCTACAGATTGAAAAGTATTGGTACTGCATTTTGTAAATAATCCATTTTTGATTATATCTACGTGCATTAGACAAGCATGGCCAATCCAGGATGTTTGTATAGTTGCTTCCTTCTTGCGGTCGAGATTGGGGTATGAAAATTTGTCAAAGACATCTTTTCTTATTTGCTGCAGTTTTCTGGGGGAATTCTCTAATAATTTATTGTTACATATTGTAATGATAATAATGTTCCTTCATAAGTAATTTTCTCTCGGGTTTGGTTGGTGGAAACTTTTCAGTTTCTAGAGCATGCTGCTAACTTCATAAAGTCTAATTTTCGTTAGCTAAGTGCGCGAAAGTTCTGTTACATACTAAAGTTTAATAACTTCAGAAACTAAAACTATAACTACTTATAAAGAACAACTCCAGAGCTGTCAGAAATTACTTAACATAGATGAGAGTGTTGTCTGTTTGTCATTTTTTTCCTGTCTAGGTACAAATATATCATGCGGACGAATGCAATAAACACAAGCAAATTGTAGACAATATTTATGATTACTTTAAAATTGAATGTAGTGTGTGAATCAATTAAATTTTCTGCACTAATAATCTAATAATCAGCGATAAAATGTCATGTTTATGTAGTATCTGCTAAATAGTTATGGGTAAACAAAAATATGCTATTTCTCTGCACCATATTAAAAGCGTTTGAAAACATGTTTATTCAATTCATATAGCGCATAGCAGGTATTTAATAACGATTCTACTTTAGATTATTATGAAAACATGTATGCCTTTTGCTGTACATTATCTCAGAAATTTTGCGAACTTGTGAGGAAAAGCGTACAAAGTATGAACGTTGTTTTTTACCTCGTATTTTTTTCTTGTTTTTGGAACTAAGCCAGATATATCTGTTCGATATACGTATCAAAAATTACGAATTTTATAAACAAGAACTTCAAAATAGCAACTAATGTTAAACAGACTCTTGGAAATTTAAATTAGGATATGTTGAACTTACTGGGTAACAGTAAACTCAATGCAAGATTGAAAACATATTAAAACAATTTTAACTGTATGAAATAAGCACCTATATTGCACATCAACAATCCGATTTTTAACACGTAAAATAAAACTAGTAAGTATGCCCGTGCAAATAAATCGCTCAATGATTTTTTCTTTAAATTCTTCAACAGATTACCAGCTTATTAAATTTACGTTTTTTTATCACTGTTCTACGACTTTTGTTGTTTACGAATTACGACATATCTTTTTTAGAACATAAAGGCTAGTTAAAAACATATTAGAAACAGAAAGAGGAGCTAAGAGGAGTAGAGGTAGACCTAGATTATATTACTGATTAGTTCAGGATAGGAGAGTGAAGGTGCGTGTCCAACCAGTCTTAGGACTGACGACCTATGACGATCAACTCCATCTCAGACTTACGGCTATCGAGTACTATAATTATCAGCGAACTATAATGATACCAAATTTATATGAATTAATTGCTTCGATTTTGCTAAAAAGTGGTACATACATACACTTCATTTCGAATGGTAATAGATATCCGATGCCTATATACATATGTGCAAGGCGCCAATACTTTTTGGCTATAAACGTTTTATATTAATTATTACGCGTACACGCCCTCTGGACTAGTATTAATTCAGATTTAATCGACAATAAATGCTTAGCAATATGTGATAAACGATATAATTCATAAATCAGAAGTGACCACACTACTTCAAACTAAACATAACTGTAATATCTTGGACGAGAATATTTGGAGATCTTTAAAAAAATTTTTTTTTTCTAGTTTTCTTGGTGTATTAGACAATAAATATGCCCAATATTTAAATATTTCTAGACAACATTCGCAGACAACATATTAACGGTTACTTTTCTGTAATAAACACTTTTTTACTTGCCTATAAACAGTTCTACTAGAATTTTCATTTTTCATTTACATATTATTATTATTATTTAGATAGCAAATTTTTGTGAAACTCTGCTTGATCCTCTTTTATTTTAATACTTTACAAAAATGATTAAACGGTTGAATATTTTACAAAATTGAGGTAACTTTATTGTAAGTATATATTTACGTATGTAGGTTTTTCTAATAGAAAGTTTTTTCTGAAAGTTAATCTTAAAATTAGAACACAATTTATTGTCTTCTTGGGGTAGATACGCTTCTGTAGAAATCTTTTGACAAGTCTGAGATGTACATTTCACTTGTATATGTTCTTCATAATAGTACAGTGAAAATGTATATTGCACAATACAGTAATCTAAGTAAAAGGACCCAATGGGGATGTACATTAGATACAATTATTCTAATAAAGTTGATCAGAAATCGTAAAAAACTTACCAAAGGTCTTTGTCGTGATGCAACACTGCGAGAAAAACTATCAAGACTAACAGCAAAACTGAGATCGAGGGGTGTAGCACAAATTCTTATATACCTAGTTTAATGCCTTAAAAGTCAGTTCTCATTAAGAAAATACCCTTTTACTAGAAAAGCAATTAACGTGATTTTAATTATTTCACAAGTTTTTGACGCCTTAAGGGATTTACATATTTTTATTAAGCTCTTTATTTAGCTTGCTTATTGTTTATCACAGATTTCTTAAAGATAGTCTCCTTAAGAATGACATCGATCATAAATTGGAAGGATAATTTATTCGAAAGTTACATATAAATAACTTCTTCTTTACTTGGAAAAGACAAATTAACATACTTAGTGGAGTTGTTATCTGCTAAAAAAGTAATCAATTTTGTATATCTATTGCCAAATTTCTTAGAAATCCGTTTTGACATTGTAAAGATAATTGTTATGTTATTAAAAAGATTGTTAAAACCGGACCAAATTTACCTATTGAATTTAATTAAAATCATCAGCATTTGAAGTCCGTAGCAATATCATAAACAAAAACAATAAACTACCTAACGAAATAAAACTTTAGCCAAATTTTAATTTATTAACAAATATTATTTTATTATGAATACCTGTCTTCATTATGGTTTGGATTTTTTTATTTTGCAATCTGGAAGCATTAATTTTTCTTTGATTTTTCTGAGAAATTGCTATCAATGATGTTAATGAGTGATTTTAACCAAGCCATTTACAAAGATGTGATTTATTTGAAATATTTGCATTTAAAATGCAAATATAAAATAAAAAAAACCNTACTTTTCCAATTTTCTATTTGTAAAATGCAAAATAATATTTTTGTCGTCAAAAGTTTTGCTAGTATCACCTATCAAACATTATATAAAATGATGAATGAAAGTTGCCCACATTGGCCACTAAAGGTATTAGAAGGTTAAAAAGAGGACAAAGAGACATTCCATGAATGTCTTCTAATTATTTAACTGAAGAGAGCCCAAAAAATTCTAAACTCCTTGGAAATGGATAATCTAAAATATTGGATCGATGTTGTTTTTCGGGTTCAATGTCATGGTCTACGGAATTTTGAAGTTCCACATTGATATCAGCACCTGTCAAATCACCACTTATCGTACCTTTAGCAAGGAACTTCGAAATTGTACGAATTAACACAAAACAGCCCACAAAACAATATCCATTGATATACGCCAGCTGTGTAAAACTGAAAACTACAAGATATTGCACTGTGATAATAAATTCGTATAATCTAAAATTGTTAGAAAACGAGTCGAAAAACTTCACTTATTAGATGAACCCAAAGCTAAAGAAACTATGGATTGCATTTCTTTCTTTTATTACAACGTATAAAAGATCACAAACAAAATGGTGTTGTAAATATTTTGATATAAAATGTTTGATGTTGATTTTACATCAATAAAATTATTTGCAACCCTATTTTGACTCTGATCTTTCACGCTAAACAAATTATTTTGACGTCAGTGTCTTTTTTCCAATTAAAACGGGTGACAAAGGCAAGTAAGAAAGCATATAGAAGAATTATTTGTTGCTGAACTAAAGAAACTGTAACATAAAGATAGAAAAATTATATTTCAATCCCTTCACACTGAAAAATATGAATCATACTTAATCTTCGGAGCTGGTGATATAGTGTAAACATCAGTATTAGTCTAGAAAAACTCCAATATTTAAAAAATTAGCAAATGCCTGCTAGGTTTTCTTAAAAAATATATTATACTTAAGTAAATGTAGAAAATTGAGTAAGTGCCTACTACAAAAAATTATTTATTTGAAAAAAGTATTTTGAAAATGCGTATTTTGCATTTAGCATTTAAAATGCAAAAGGGAAATCTATTTCGTATTTTACATTTGAAATAAAACAAAAAAGTATTTGCATTTTGTATTGAAATACATTTCAAAAAGCATTTTGCACATCTTTAGCCATTTATTTTTAACTAATTAGAAACAATACGAAAAAGGCCTATTTTGACTAGCTTGTAGTTACATCATTGTTTGGGTTTGCAGCAGCTCTAAAAATGTTCATAATCACAGGGTTATTCAGTTTCAATCCATAAACAATACAAAAGCGTAAACAATTTGAAACTTAATTACGATACTAATATAAATGTTGCAAATGGCCTCATTAAAATTTATTAATAATAAAAGGAATTAGTTGAATGATAACGTGCAACACAGATTCATATATAATACCACCACCAATTTTTATCGTTGATAGTCAAATTTATACCAGAAGCATTACGAAATGAAGAACGATAAGCAAAAAATGACACGATTCAATCTTTACATCAGTATAATAGGAAATAGACGTTTTCTATTAAAAATTGCTTCACATAAAGCAACTCCCTTTCATAAATACAAAATAAGTAGAGGTTTATATAAGTCAAAAACTAATTGTACCTTATTGTAAGTAAAATAACCCACAACGGCAACAGTACAATAAAAATTAAAAAGGGTAATAGCTAGGGTTGCTACCCGTACTTTATTATAAAGTATTGTACTCTATTTCGACTGTGCGTACGTTATACTTTACAATGCACATAAAGTACGCAAAAATACTTTATTTAAGGCCTTAAGTAAACATCGTAATTTTTTAAGCGATTATTGTAAATTCAGAGTATTTTTGCATTAATAATATTGCACAGAAAAATGGCAAGCCATATTTACGGAACAACCTGGTTTCCCAAATCTGTTCAAAGTAGTGTGTCACTTTTGCTGTCCGTTCCGGCCACTTCAGCATTTACAGAAAGAGTATTCTCTGGTATGAACACAAAGTGGCGGGACGACAGGAATAAAGCTTCATTAAAACTAATTAAAAATGAACTTTTAGTTTACTTAAATCTTTGTTTGCCATGTTTAGAGGCTAATGTATTTAAGAGCAATAGCAATTTGTTACTGGCTGCTAGGTATAACAAAAAATATGTTTTTAAAAACAAAAAATAAAATACTTTATTTTTATGCTGAGTACTTTCTTTTTTTGAACCATTTAGTCGAGAAATACTTTATGTAAAGCCCGAAAAGGTGGCAACCCTAGTAATAGCCGACAAAAACGAGTGTTACAACCAATACTAAAAACACCAAAATACAAAATTAATACAAACAAAAATTCTTCATAATCTGAACAAATTGAATCTATCTATAAAACATCAGTGGTAAATTTATATAGGTAAATAAGTAGTTTTCCACATTTCTTCAAATTCAAAAGAATAAGACAAATTGAAAGTGATCATCAGAGCTGAAGCGAAACGTAGATATAGGTTTTATTCTAATAAATCTTTTTATTCCCCTAATCAGCCCTGATTACTTTCATTATTAACTCAGGGGAAAAAATGAAACATATTATCCGAACTTTAACAACTTTGTATTAATTCCGATATTCCATGGACGAATCTCGAATTTATAACGTCACGTGTGCAAGAAAATTTAAATTTTCTAAATTGTTATCCACTTCATACACGCACATTAATTTTAATTTTAGTATGTTCAAGTGCATGGCAACATGTAATAAATCAAATCGTTTTAGTAATACAACTAATTTATTAAATTATCCAGAGTCTAGAATAGTACTTTAAAAAATTAATTTTGCTCTCGAAAGAGATAACTTNGATTTGTTCCAGCGACCAGGATACAAACTCTCCGATCCGAAGCGGATCTCGCACACTCGATACGATTTCCTTACACGGTCCACTGGTTTCAGCACGGCCAACCCGTTCAATCCATAGTTGATAAAGCTGTTATCAAATAAAAGTAAAGAATATTATCGCAATAAAAAGTTACAACTTAATACATAAGTAACAGACGAAACGTCAGAAAGGTACTTAAACATTAATTACATTAATTCTTAATAAGCACAATTGCTAATCGTGCAACTCCATATGAAACATACGTACGAAATGGCTGAGGTAACCATCATTGCCAAAGTAACGTGTAATTTACTAAGAAACTATAGGTACATTCATAATTCAGTTCCTCACCAGTTAGTCTTTAGAAAAAATATGCATGGGAACATGGGTGTTGCTATTGGAGCAACCCTCAACAACAATAGTAGAACACTATTGTAACAATGTTGTGCGAAAAAGCTGCTGTAATAAAAATGATTAAAATTAACCACAGTAGGAAATTATACGGAGGAAATGCAGAAATAAATTTACTGGGTATTTTACCTGATATTACAAATTAAATTCTAATAATTAAGAAACTTGAAATAATTTTTAAAAAAACCTGTCAAAATTGAGATTATTACAAGTTACCTAATAAATTCTACTATTTCTACGACAAATTCATTTACATTCGAAAATTGCAATTTTTGCATTGTCATAAAAATTTAGTTTTCTCCGTGTCGAAGCTACTGATGTTTTATTTGCAATTGCATTGTTTTTCTACATACGCAAAAGCAAAGCTGTCGATTTCGAAATCGACTAATAATAAAATTGTTTATGTACAACACTACATGATGAACAAGTAATTTTAGTAATGATCTTGTAAATTTAGAACTTTTTCTAAGTCTTATGTACGAGGGGTGATCCAAAAAGTAGCAATTACTCATGTAGAAAACAACTCTTGTCTTAAAATTAATTTTATTTTTTAAAGTACATCTCCCTGATATTTACATTTTGGAAGGAATTTATATAAGTCATTTATTAGCAATTAACCAACGCTTCGTCCGTTGATTGGAGGATTCCTCAAAGTATAGCAAGTTACTTGGTATTGCAACAAATTGAAAAATGTCAGATTTCTCTACCTGACGGAAGGAATTGGAATTCACTTGACGTTCTTATAGTGTGAGGAGGTTCCAGCGGGCGAAACGTTGGTGAATTTTCGATAAAATTGCTTCTTTACCTGAATTAGTTCGGAGTTATAGTCTTTTCAACTTAAATACATTTCATCCATTTTTTTCTAAACCTTGAATAAATTTAGAAAAAAAATCTCCAAAAAATGCCTCACAGCGGCAATGTCATCTGGCTATCTACCACGTGGATGGGCATTCTTCACAATGTTCATCTTTCGTGGATATTCTACTCACCTTAAACTCCTTGAACCGGCGTACAATTGTAAAATATAGATGAGCAAAGTATTCCAGCGTTTTTGGCTTGTATATCTTTGATACACACGTTTTCTATTTATAGAACAGTTTCTCTTCATTTTTACTGTTACTAGGTATTTAAGTCAATGTAATCCAGAAATGGATATCCATTCGCTACTAAACTAGCGAGTGCAAATAAGAGTATTGCAAATACCCCATATCATAACTTTCGGATCACCCCTTGTAAGTACTCCTAGTGCTGAATTGAAATATGAACTGTAGATAAAACACTGTACTCATTGTTTATTAGGTAAATGATGAACCGCAATTAATATTAATCTATAGGAAATTAAAAATATTGCGGAATATTTGTTTTTAAATTATGGCGGAGGCGCCGGGAATATTTGACGTGATTAATTATACATTAAAATGTACATTTAGCCGAACAAAACAAATATTTTATTACTTTCTGCTAGGTTATTGTTATAATTGTGTGCCTTTTGTTGCTCTGTCGAGTTGTAAAGATGAGGTTATCGTTCCACTTCATTCTCTGATAATTTTATAATTACATTTGCAACGTGCTGGTTATATTTGTATACGAAAGCTTTCATCAAAATAAATAAAATACAGACAAAAGATTTCCAGGAAAAATTATTTTTATGACAATGTAATACAATGTAAATCAAATGTCTCTTTAACTGATAATATATTATAAAGAACGAACACATTTTGATACTGCATTAGGTTTCTAAAATTTAGCTTCAGCCCATTCTTTTTCACACCAATAATATATAGTACGGACTATAATATGAAAGGGCGAAGAAAAGTTTTAATAATATCAGTTTACATCAGCCTTTCACTTGTGGTTAAAATCTTCTTGAGGATGGATAGGTAATTACTGAATATCGCATAGTTGATGGGAGTTATATGTAAGAAATATTTCATTGTTCATGAGTAACTGTTGTAAGATTGATTTTTATTTTTATCATTTTGTAATGGAATCGTTGGTCACAAATCATTAAATATGAATTGAAGTAGGGTACCTAGGTAGATAGATTTATTGGACACATGTTGGAAGTAAAGGATTAGTAAAGGTGTCCCATAACTTTTAGAAAATTAAAGTGAAATTTAGGTTACGAAGAAAAAAATTTTTGATGGTTTGTAAACGAAAATTTATTTGGGAGTGTTATTAGCGGGATATAAATTAAGATTCAAAAACATTTTTGTGATGACTTATTTCAATAAAAAGTATTATTTGACCATCGTCGTCATCATCACCACATTATATATTATTATATATTATTATATATGTACAGACTTGCTCAAAACGCACCTTCACTTCATCCTATCCAGAGCTAATGTTCTCGTTTTCCGATAAGCCTAACATGCCACATTGTATTCCTCTACGCTTTTCTTTACTGCTGTTTCTGCTACTAATCCTCTAGCTATCTCCACGCAGCTAATCATAACGATATAAAATGCTTATTCCAAGCCTGTCCTGGTTGTGTGTACGGCTACCTTACCCACTAACTACTTAATCGCTCTGAGGAAACCTCTTAACAAAAAGGCCAAAATTTGATGCAAATTGATACATTTTGTTCAATTCATACATTCATTTTCTCGCAACGAATTTCATTTCTCAGTTTTATTTTTCTCTTTGGTTGCAGCTAGTGTTTTTCATGATGTGCGACAGAGTCCTCCTCTGTAATTTCGGTGGTACAAACTGTCCTCAAAAAAAACTCACAGGTCTTTACACGTTGATGTTTTATAATGTCTTGGCCTACTGCGTTTCCTACATCAAGGAACTCATCGAAAAAGAAGATTGGTCACCGTACGTTAACATGACTCATCACAGTAATCTCAAACACGTTGCCATGTCCGCAACGAAAATCGTTTTGGAATGGACCAAGGCAGTAACGTTCATCATAACGGTCACCTTCATGTTGTTGGTGTTTGGTCTTGAACAGGGTCTCGAGCATTACCAGCCTACGGCCCTCTACACCATCGTAACATGGACGTATTACATGTGTACAGAAAAGGTGTTCGTTCAGTTCTTTCCATCCGTACTAGTGTTTCTGAGACTGAGTTGTTTAGAAGCTTTGGAGTTTTTGTACGCGCCAGTTCTTTTACGATATTATACCATAACGGTCGCGGCGCTCATGGGACTGATTCTTTTGTTTTATGGACAGTTCCGTTTCACTTTCATAGCCACCTATCTGACCGTTTATTTGAGGACTAAAGATTTGGTTGGCAATTCGTTGAAGCAGTTGAAGAACGAGCAAGCAGTACTGAATCAGTTCCGTTTGGCTTCTCTAGAGGAAATAGAGAATTGGGACGATGTTTGTGCCGTTTGTCTCAGTCCTTTGAACAGAGCCAGGGTAACACCTTGTCAGCATCTGTTCCACGCCGACTGTTTGAGACAATGTCTCAATTCATCGAAAAATTGTCCGATTTGTAAGAGGGAATATACTTTTATTGTGTAAGTGGTAAGGCGTTGTGCTTACACGGGACGATATGCGGACATGGTGAGGAATATTCGAAATTAAATCGTAAATAATTGTAAATCGTACCCTATTATGCTATATGCTATATGCTGTTCCCTATACGTCCTGTGCCTATTATTTATTGGAGACTGACAGAAAAGGCAAATTTTTAAAAGCAATAACGTATCTCAAACGGTAATTAAAAACAAAGAAAAAAGTAATGAGTAGCTTATAGCTTATACAGTAGTCTGCATTTAAAATAGTAAATTAGAATAAGATATATATGTACATACATTTTTGCATACACACGTAGAAGTAACAAGTAAATAAAATCATTTTAATCACTGCAACACCTTTAAGATTGTGATGTGTTTTTATTAAAAATTTAAAAATTGCTTTAATTTTTAAACTTCTATTTAAATTAATTTACGTACCGAGAGAGATCATATTGTTGCAAATACAATATGTAATACATGTTTAAATCTAGTGTAGTACGCTATTAAATTTGTTTTTTTATGTAAATCGTATATGTATAACCTTATTTAGCCTACGTATCTAAGATTAAATACTTTTTCTATAAAATTATTTTTTATGTAAATTTTCCTTTTTCCCTATTACTTATAACTAAAAATCGAAAACTAAAACGTTTAATCTAACATTTGGTTGACTTTCTTTGTCAATGTATTTTGCACTATTTTTCTATTACGTGTGTATTTTGAGGGTATCTATAAATAAAAATTAATATTGCGAAGATACGCCGTGCATAGTATTGCTTGCTAAATAAGTGTCTCTAAATATTCTAGATGTTACCTACGCCTACATGTTCATGTTGTTTTATTTGTACGTTTATTGTATTTCATTTTATTATGAAAACATTTTTTTATCAATCATTCAAATTATTTCGTATCATGTAATTTTAATTTTATTTATAGAAAATTGGTAATTTCCACGTTTAAAATAATGTGTGTATCTTAAAAGGTCTATTTCAGCTGAAATTTACAGTTTATAAACGATTTAATACATTTTAAATGAATTTGTAATAAAAATATTTAAAAAGTATCTACCACTTTTTTTTTAATGTGCACAATTTGTATTTTTAAAAATCGATGCACAGAATGTGTCAGAAAACAGTATCAGGCGGAAGGATGATGTTCTGCTTAACCTGACCTAACCTGATACAGGTAAAAATGAATAGTAAAGAAAGAAGGAGCAGTTCAAGGGCGGGGGCTAGAGACCAGAGTTGTTAACGTCGTTATATGATGAAATGATTAAAATTCATTTAAATTTTAAGAGAATGTTTGGAATAATTCTTACAAACTACCCTTCTGTTTTCTGCGACATTCTGCATGATTAAGTAACATGAAGTGAGTTAATTTTTTTGTGTGAACGCGTGTATCTTTATTTGAAGATGAGTATACATTATATGCCCTGCCCTGCATCCTTCGCATACGTCCAGCAACATTTTCTTACTTGTTTCTACAGATTGTCCAGCAAGTGACAGGCAATTGCAGTTAATTTTTGTGCTACTGAAACGGCCCAACCTTTTGGCGTCTCTACCGTGCAGTATTTTGCAATCAATTTTGGAACTGAGTAGAGGAGGCAAGTGGAAATTAATTTGGAAGTCACTGATACAACAGTAGATTGTCTCTAGTGGTATTCCTCCGGGACTGGGCTTGCTTATTACACTTAGATACTTTAGAAAACCTTACTCTGCAGTTAATTGAGGTAAAAATATAAAAATAATTAATACCAATTGCTCTTTATTATTCTGTTATTGTATTTCTTCCAAATGGATTGCATTGATTTTGTCGTGTGTTTCATCCCTCCATTAATTAATGTAATTAATTTGCTTTTTTGTCAGTTTCTGCAGATAGTTCAACACAAAGAGTGAATTAAAGTTCGTATTGAAACAACCAACGTCTGCAGAGTTTTTTGTCTGTCTGAACTATATTCTCGTTTTGCTGCTTTCGTCTTCCCCTTGCAGAATTGTGCAATGTAGTTTCAACCGATGAGTGAGAACAACTGAAGATTTATTGGAATTCCACTAAAACAACAAATTTCCTGTTGTGGTATTCTTCCTGGATTTGGTTTGCTTTTCACATCTGCAAACTTTAGAACGTTACAGTCTACAGTTAATTAAGGTGAGAATAGTTGATATAATTAATTTTAATTGCTCATTATTTATCCGTTACTTTTTTTTTTTAGGTTTAGAACCTACCGCGCGCGCCCCTTTTTAACCTTGCGCCCCCAGGCATATGCCCACTTTGCCTTATGGATAATCCGCCACTGCTTACCACCCTATCTGTTTCAGATCGACGGTGGAGAAGACAAAGCAGATCCATTAGTTGAAATAGTCCTTTATCTTGCTCTATCTAATAGAATTACTTGTTTAAATTCATTTTATTCAAATTAATTTTTTATTTTGCAAGTTTTTTTGTAGTTAATTTGAATTTGTTTTTATTTTGCATGTTTTTTTAGTTTATTTGAATTAATGTTTGTTTGTAGATGTTTTTTGGTAGTAATCGTAGAGCTAAACATAGTTCTATATTTTTTATATAAGTGGTAGTACTAGTTTAACATATCTCTATCTTTTCTACCAAAGCTATTAGTATTTGTCGTTAGTCCTTGTAATTGCACTATTCGCTTTCAGGTAACCGAAGAAGACTGAAGACATCGTATTGTTTGCTTTTGTATGTTCTTTGAAATTTCGTGTTTTCTTATCTTTCTCTTACAGGTATTTTGTTTTTTACTGCATAAACTGTTATATCTTTATAATCATAACTTAGGGTGATATTTACAATGTTTCTAAATCTAATCTTGCATTTAAATAATAATGATATGGCAGTTTATGTAAACTTTGAAATTTTATTGATTTTCTTGTCTCTCTTACAGGTGTTTTATTTTTAACTTTTATAAGTCGTTAGAATGTATTATATCTTGGATATTTTGTTTATATTTAAGTATTGTTATTTGAAATACTGATCTATCGATGTTCATACGTTGTGTTTCTTATAAATGCTATTAATTTGCAACAATAAATGTATTATTGAACAAATTGTATTTTATGTGAATTACAATATATAATAAAATTGCTAAATAAACCTCATTTGATGTAAACAGCGTTTTACTTATTAAAAATAACACTTAGACATCTATTGAGAAATTTAATTTATAGTTATAATACTGGAAATGAACATAAATTATGATAGTAATAGTACAATTAAACGTTTCAAGGCTGAACGATGTAGAAAAACGAAAAACTAGTCTTCCATATAGTTAATCCCGCGCTAAAAATTGGTACTTTTAAAAAGACCTTTTGCGACTTATGCTCTCCTAATACAAATTTTCAGATTTAACAAAATTTTCAGTTTTGCGTCATATACGAGGGCCAGTCGAAAAGTTCTGGAACAACGAAATTTCAAAAAATTTGTTTTTTCCATTACTTTCTGACCAACCCTCGTATTTAGCTCAAAACCGAAAATTTTCATAAATTCGAACATTTGTATTAGGAGAGCATAAGTCGCAAAAGGTCTTTTTAAAAGTACCAATTTTTAGCGCGGAATCAACTATATCGAAGTCTTTTTTCATTTTTCTACATCGTTCGGCCTTAAACTTTTTCAGTTCAGAATTAAAGCGCGGGATTAATTTCACCTTTCTTACAAACAGATCAGCTCCTGAGCATGCGATATGGCTCTGGTAATTTTCAAAAATTGACGCAATTTCTTTTCTTTTCACAGTATTTGAGCTATTTTATTCTTTACTGTTGTTCAAGTCAGAGTACAAATTAAAAACACACACTTTATTTATTTATTTATTTAAATACTAAAGAATGATAATACAATGAAAATACATTTATTATTTAGAAATATAATTTACATTTATTATAACAAAGTACAAATTTATTTCAAATAACAACAATACATCAATATAAACAATGTATCTAAGATATAATACATTCTAACGACTTATAAAAGTTAAAAATAAAATACCTGTAAGAGAGACAAGAAAATCAATAAAATTTCAAAGAAAATACATTTATTATTTAAATGCAAGATTAGGGAGAAAAAAGCCTCCCTAATCTTCATTGGCCTCCGCATCTCCCCTTATAGCCACCCTATCCACCCAAAACGAACATTAATTTTGAAAGCGTAAACAAATAATTAATTTAACAATTACACCAAAAAATCAATTTAGAAACATTTTAAATATCACCCTAAGTTATGATTATAAAGATATAACAGTTTATGCAGTAAAAAACAAAATACCTGTAAGACAAAGACAAGAAAACACATGAAATTTCAAAGAAATTACAATAAAAAGCAAAAAAGAAAATGATGTCTTCGTTCTTCATAGGAAATACCTCATAATCTGAAAGCGAATAGGGCAATTACAAGGACTAACGACAAATACTAATAGCTTTGGTAGAGAAGATCGGACAGATTTCGCCAAGGCAAGCTGGGCAGTCGCCTATTGCTCCTATTCCAGATAACCCACTGTACCCTGTCTGAAAGGAAGTAACGCTAGAGTAGACTCGCGAAAAGTGTATAAGACACTTTTAAGATCAACTAAATAGCTAAGCCCAAGGGAAGTCGTTCGGGGAGGCCCTCCCTAATTCCACAAGGGTGAGAAGAAACACACACGATAACGAAACGTTGAATCATGTAGAACTCGTAGGGTAAATGCAAAGCAATTTATAGTAAGAATATGCAGTAAGCTAAGCGAAGAGGTAAGCAAGGTTAGACTATACTACAACTACTAAACGTGTTATTTCTACTATTACACACAAAAAAAAATAAAAACATCTACAATCAACAATTACTTCAAATAAAATGAACAAAAATAAGCATGCAAAATAAAAACTAATTCAAATTAACTACAAAAAACATGCAAAATAAAAAATTAATTTGAATAAAATAAATTTAATGAATTCTACTAGATACAGCATGCAAGATAAAAAACTATTTCAACTATGGGATCATCTTTGTCTTCTCCAACGTCGATCTGAAACAGATACGGTGGTAACAGATTAATAAAGAGCAATTAAAATTAATAATATCAAGTATTCCTACCTTAATGAACTGTAAGGTTCCAAAGTTTGCAGGTGTGAAAAGTAAAACAAATCCAGAAGAAATATTACAGCAGACAATTTGTTCCAGTGAAATGCAAATAAATCCCCAGTTATTCTCACTCGCCGCTTCAAAATTGACTGCATAATGTTACAAGGTGAAGACGAGAACAGCATACTTTACAAAAGACCACACCCATGTAGACATTGGTTGTATCAGTATGACCAAACTGAACTTTATTCTCTCTCATTTTCTGCAACAATCTGCGGAAACGGACAAACAAAAATAATAATTACATATTAATTAAGGATGGAGTTAACATACCTAAAAACATGCAGCAAAAAGCAAGTAAAATATCTGAATTATAAAATGTGACAAGCGTCAATTTTACGTGATATAAATGTCAAAAAATCATAAATATACGAAGCATCAATCTATGCTGTAGACAATAGATAAATGCATAAAGAAATAATCATAGATATATCATTAATTTAAGCTTTAGACAATAGATAATAGGTACAAGCAAAATCATAGATACACGACGTTAATTTATGCTACAAACAATAGATAACTGTTAAAGAGAAACCACAGATGCCGGAGACGAATAATTATTATGAATTCAATTACAATCAAAAAGCAAAATAATCAACGGTAAAACAAATGCTTACCTAGAGGATTACTTTACGGTGCTACAGTTTTATATCTAAGCGTTGACAACAGAGAAATGCCTTTTAATAACAGATGCTTATGAAAGGAAAACTAATACCACCCATGGTGAAATGAGCCCCATAGCAGGCAAACAGACAGAACATCACATATGCAGCTGTAATTGAACTGCACATATTTTCAAGTCCAAGGGGAGGGAGAAATGAAGGGGCTCCACTTCTCTTAGGTCACGAATCCTTATTTGTTGAAAGAATTTAACGTTAGTTTCATCTTAAATATTATATTTTAAAATATTAAGAACTTAAAAATATTTTATGTACATCGCTTCTTTGCATTTTTACTAGGGATTATTACATTCCAGACTGAACTATGGTGTTTCAGCTTCAGGTGTAACTTGTGAAGGAATACATAAATTAAGAACTGTAACTTTTATCAATCAAATAATAAGACTATCAAGCTCAATAATTAACTATTACAATTCAGAAGAGTACAATATTATAGTAGTCAAATTATAATGTCAAACAATTGGAATACAAGATTTTAAAATCTTACCAAAAGTATTAGAAGATTCCCTGTGGTGTCGAAGGCATGGCATATTTAGAGAAGCTCTTCATCATATTGTGATTGCATTTGCATTTTTTGTACAATATTGCTTCTTTTCAAATTTGTTTCTTTTTAATAATTGGGCGAACGGTGCCTAAAAAACACCTGTGACGATAAAAAATAAGTACAAAGTTTAAGAGAAAATACTAAACTTAAACTCTATTAACAAAATATTATTAATACACATTAATTAAGACTAAACTAAGGATGGGGTCGAAATCCTCAGATGTTTCAGGAAAAGAATTTATTTAACTGAATATATTAGAATTGAAACAAGTAACAAATGTCTAAGAAGTTGAAGTTATCTAAAGATATCATTTACTATTTTTAATTGATACTGTTACATACCAGTTCATTGTCATAAATCCATTTTTCAGCACACTGACTTCGTTCCCAATGGAAAAAGGCACTTTATTGCTTTTTCCGGAGCAAATGAGGACTAATACAACCAATGTTCCATAATTTCATAATTTAATTGTATCTGGAGTTCTTCTGATGTTCCTGTAAAATGAAATCTTATGAAACAGTATTCAGATATAATTAATTTAATTTTAAGTAAATATTT